CCTACCTCACAGGGTTGTTGTTGTGGGGATAAGATGGAGGAGGAGATGTAAGCTGCCTTGAGCCCTTTGTAGGAAAAAGGCAGGATATAAATTGAAAAATAAATAAATATCCTTGGCAGTGCACTGACTGGCCATGCAAAAGCTTGGACGAGTCATGGCTAATGAGTCACGGCTCATGATGTCATCGCCTGGCACTGCTACTCCTTTCCGAGCATGCACATGGCCCCTGTGTGCACTTTTATCTGGTGCTCGACTGCTGGGGCAATGCTGGGGCGACTTGGCTCACACGTCGACAGAGAAGCCTCTGTGTGCCTGTTGTGGCACGTGTGCCATAGGTTTGCCACCCCTGTATTAGATGATCTCTTGGTCTGTTCAGAAGAATTCTTATGTTCTTAAGTGAGAATGAATTGGTTCTAGGAATAGATGCTAATTTGATTGATCTGGATGTTGTTCAGTTTTCTTTCAACAGCTGTAAGTTTCAGGTCCAAAAGTGTAAAGAAGGAACAGGGCGCGTTGTGATGTGGAGAATGGGAATACTGAATAGTTATACTATGGAATCTACATTCAGTGGATCAACATTAGGTAAATGTTAATTTATACTTAAGACTAGACTAGTTGTTATCTGTCAAACAGAGTGGTGATGATTCTGGGTCCAGTAATGTGGGGCAGAGTCTTTCCACATAAAATAGTAAATCAGGAGAATATAATCTTGCTATTTTTAATAGGTCTGGATAAGCGTTCAGGGGCCAAGGCTATGAAGTAGGGAATTGCCCTGCCTCCAAGAGTATGGCTTTATTATTCAGGAAGTAAATGTTCTCAAAAGCATTAAACAAGTGAGAGAGGGAGGAAGAGAGAGATGTGTGATTCTAAAGTATATTTTAAGAATTATTTTGATACTCTAATACTGTGTTGAATAATTTCTAATAAGGTTCTAATGACAAAGAAAAGTTTTGCATGTGGTGAATATAAACAGTTTGGGGTCAGGTTATTTGAGGGAGCACCTTTCACCATATATACCAGCCTGTTCACTCGGGTCAGGTGAAGCCCTCCGCCATGTTCTTCTCTCTCATGAAGCAGGGTAGGGGTTGCAAGGAGGAGAACTTTTATCAACTTTGAAATTCAATTCCACTGGAGGTTTGGTTGGCACCTACTGTTTTGGCCTTCAGGCTCCAATTAAAGATATTGTTCCACAGTTATTTTAAGAGGTGAATTATTGATTTTCAATGATTTTTTTAATTTTTATGTTAGTATATGCTTCTGCCAGTATGTTTTAATTGCTAGTTATTGATATAGACTGAATTTTAATGGTTCATGTTTTATTTTTGGAGGATATGTGTGTGTGTGTGTGCGTGCGCGCTATTATTTCTATTTTGTTTATTTTGATTTTGTTTAATTTTGGTAGTTTACTTATGGGTTTTACTGTTATTGTTCTTTTGTAATTGTAAGTTGTCACATTGCGTATTGTATTGTTTTATGCCATTTATGGATTTTAATATGATGTAAGCTGCCCAGCGAGTCTATGGATAGTGAAGTGATATAGAAATCAAACAAACTTTTTCTGCAATGGATGTTTTTACAGGAGAGATTCATTTACTAAAGACTGAAGAACTATATGTATGTTTGTCTTTCTCAGGCAGTAAGAATAACTCTCATTTTACTTCTGAGGATCTAAAATCTCTAGGCTATCATGTTTGTGACACCTTACTGGACTTCTGTGACCCTGACCGTTCCAAGGTGAGAGTCTCCGCCTACTGCTGAGCTGTATGAAAGGACAATGATGCACACCAGTATCTTTGAAAATTCTCTGCTTTTTGAGGGTCAAATGTGATGCCAGCTCGTCCTGGCAATAAGCCACAGTGGGTTGGTTGTTCAGCAAATAATGCACAATGTGCCTGACAGACAAAGCATACTCTCTGTGGGACACAATCTTCTTGCAGGTATCCCAGGGGACACAGCAGCAGGACTGACTTGTCTCTCTTCCCTGCTGTTATCACAAGCTGTTTTCCCCAGAAATTGCAAGAGCTAGCTTGACAGTTGGTTCTCATGATTCCTGTTTTGACAGCCACTGATAACCCTTTCAGAGTGCTCAAACAGCACATTGGAGGGGCTGGCAGTGGCTGGAAAACCATTTATTTATTTATTTTTGGCAGCATAGGTGAGGAGGTATGTGGTTCCAAGAATGTGTAAATTTAAAGCCTCAGCTGAGTCAGTGCTCTATGAAGTACCTGTTGTCAAAGTGTGGCAGATGCCAACCCATGAAAACGATCCAAATACCATTACATAAAGAGGCTCCAATTACAGTTTTTCTTTCCTTAGTTTTTTCCTTTTGACAGCTGTCAAAAGAAAGCAATCAAGGAAACCAAAGACCCAAATGAGCTTGCTCACAAAAAGGGAGAGGTGAGATCTATTCTCCCTTCAGAGGAAGAGCTTCATCTCCCTTTTTTTTTACTTCAGGCTGATGAAGCTTTTTGTTCATTTCCCCAAGATGCTAGCTGCTCAGAAAAAATGCAAAAGTGCATCCTGACCCCTTTTCTGGGGAAATGTTTTGACAGCTGTCAAAACTCTGAGTTCCTTTTAAAAATGGGATTTTGAAAGGGCAACGAGGTGTCAATGTTTTTAAATGGATTGCCAACCTCTGACAATCAGTTCAGATTGTGCCACATCGGCACTTTGAAGGGGCTGTCTGTGACTTTCAAAATGGGAACTGGAAAAATTGCTCATCAAATCTGCTTTTGCAGACTATGAAAGAAAGGGTAAACAATTAAAAAGCAATGGGGAGCACATAACCAGTGCCAATCACACCAAAATGCTGTGGTGTCCCCAGGATACCCCCAAGAGTCCTGAAGGGGAAGTAGGAGAGAAACCAACCATGGAAGGTCCATCAGGCAATAATACAGAAGGTATCAAAGTTGCAGTCTACACAGTGACTGTTCCATGAAAAATTACTAGCATATAATTATCATGAAAAACATTTATGGAATTGATTCTCTCCTTTCAATTCATCTGTCACATTGTATATGAAGTAGTTGAAAAACAAGCAGGTCCTGAATTCATCTTGAGTATGGCATCTTACTTGTAAAGGACTCCACAAGATATTTTAGTTATAGAGTATCATTAGAAGGAAGTAGTTGAATGATTTCCTGTTTTCTGTGACTGAGATTTGAGCTGCAAAATGTTGCCCACGAAAGCCTGTTTATTGGATGAGCAGTTCCAATTATTTGGGGCTAGCTGTTACCAGAAAATCCATTCATTCCTATGGTTGTCTTCCCTTCTGATCTGAGCCCTGAGGTCCTAATCCCATGCTATGAAAAGTAGATGCTGTGATGTATCTGCCTGTAGCTTTAGGATAGGTATGTGTCATGGGATGAAATTAACTTAGATACTTGCTGACCAAAAGAAAGAACACTAAAATGTAGGCTATTCTTCTGTGGAAGCATGTTAACTCTAGAACAGCATTCCTAAAAAAAGTTGGGCCAATGCAAAGTAGGGATGCAAAGATCCAACCAGATTCTGGCTCTTTTGTGGTGGCTGGACTTCTTTTCCATGCTCAGCCTGCAGGTCTTGTGTGTGGGAGCAGAACTCTGCTTGCTCAGCAGGCACATGTGTGGTGGGTGCTATGTGTGCGAGCCCGTCTTGTGGATTCACTTGGACTCACTTCCTGCATTCTGCCTACATGAATAATTGGCACCAGGCAGACATAGAGGAGAGGGACAGGAGGCCGGAGTCCAGGGAGCTGAGCTGAGGAAATCCAGAGGATTCCCATCCCCAAAACAGATTTCAGTAGCAGGCCAAAATATTCTTTTTGACCAGGTATTTTTTAATTTTGTTACCTCATTCTGCATAACAATTCCCATTTGGTTTTATTGTTATATGAAGGTTGATCTGCTGCTTTGCTTTTAGGTTTTTGAACCCTTATTATTGCATACTGCCACAGAATCTATTGGATGGAGACTGGTTTAGAATTTTTAAAATGACTGAATAAATAAAGTTGCCCACCTGCAGTTACCAAGGGCTTCTTCTTTCAGTTTCAGCAATGTCTGTCTGAACTTCAGGAGCTATTGAAGCAAAAAATTCAGAGGAAACTCTCAGAGTTGGGCCATGAACAAAACAGTACCTGGAGTGACATCTCTCTATCTGATGTTGAAACTAGGTAACCCATGTCTACCAGCCTTAATGTTTGGGAGCTTTAGAGGAATGATGGGGAACATCCTGAGCCAAGTCAGGATCCAGCTTATTGGTCAGTCTGTGAAGAGAATGCTGGATGAGATGGACCTTTGGCCAGCAACATTGTGCCTCTTTTTATTCTTTTATATCTTACCATTATCTTGTTTTATTTAAAAAGTACAAGCTCAGAACCAGAGTACAGTTCAGCCAGAACCCTTTCTTGCATTGTGCTACAGTGCAGCATCCTGCACTGATACAAATATTTTGTAAATCTTGCATATATACATCCAATTACTGTAAACAGGTACAATTTCCACTGTCTTACTAACTTACGAGGTGGCTCACCTGAGCCACTGGCTTCTGCAACACAAAATTTCAGAGAAGTTGCTCAGTCCTTTCACATGCACTATCAGGAACAATTTCTCCATAGGATCTGTCATTGCCAACATATTTGTGAGAACATACTGGTGGGGATGGTCATGTGGATTTATCTTATTCCCTCTCTCCCAGTAGACTGCTGAATGCAAAAACTCACCCAGTCTTCCCCACTTACAGTGTTCATCAATTTGGATGGCTTTGAGAAGGGATTGAAGACATTTATGTAGGATAAACCTGTCAAAAGCTACTAGTCACAATGGCTGAATAATACTTCCAGTATCAAAAGCAGGATGTCTCTCAATACCAGTTGCTGGAAATGCATGCAGGAGGATATAATTGCCCTCATGTGCAGCTTATGGGCTGGTAATTGGTTGGCCAGCATGGGAACAGGATGCTGAAGTAGGCAGGATTTGGGTCTAAGTCATTATGACTCCTCTTACGTTCTTACAGCTTTTTATGATGAAGAGTGCTTCCAGACTATACTTTTGATATTTTTGCCCTTTCTTATTCACAGAAGTATATGAAGGATCCAGAAAACAACATCATCTTCAGTGTTTCTTATCTTTTTTTCTGTCTTTTTTCCTTAACACAGAATATCTGTTAAGGAGAAAAAGGTGGAACAGCAGCACAATATATTCATACTGTTAGCACTGGGACATTCTATAGAGAAACACACAAAGACTGGTTAAAAATTCTAAAGCTTTGAAGATACAGTGGGGCTGGTTTTCCCCAAGCTCATTTAACTTGCTAGTCAGAATTAGATGGAACTAACCAACAGTATACACCAAAAAGCTGGAAGGTTTTGCTATATTAATAATAATAATAATAAGGCCAACAATTATGTTTTGTATTAAATCAGTGGTTTCTCTCTTTTCTTTTAATTAGCACAAGTGGTTCTGACAGTTCCCAATCAGATGGCCTCCCAGCTCATTTGCTCAATGTGGTACTGAAGGTGAGAGCCATATATTTTTGCTAAATGGAAGAATGGAAAAAATTATAGGGCAATACCTTGGTCCCTTGAAATGATTAAGGGCTGTAACCTTAGCACATAATGGCTGCAGGTACTGTTAGTGGCATAATAAAAAGAGATAATTATGTGCATTTCATTACTGGAAAGGGGAAATACACATCCTTCAAAGAGAGAAAAAAGAGAAAGTAATGGATTTGTGAGGATAAGTAGTTGTGTTTTTATTGCAACTTCTAGAGTCTGTACTTTTCGTGTTATGTTTTTGTATTAATTAACTGTCAGGAGGAGATAACCAGTGCAAAGAACAACAAAAGAGGAAAGGCAAGAGATGTCTTCCAGAAGATCCAAGAAATCGAAGCGAAATTCTAACCTAGATTATAAATGCTGAAAGACAAACGGGAACATGTTATCTTACCATGATAACATAAAGGGAAGGTGGAAACAATATAGGGAAGAATGATACAGAAGAGTGAAAAATACCATATTCCTTCAAAGGGGAATCCTATTAGGAAGAGCCTACAATGTTAGAAAGTGAAGTGAAAGCTGCTCTGAAAGCTCTTGGAAGGAATAAAGCATCCAAAGTAGATAGGCTAGCTATAGAACTATTCCAAGCTGTTGAAACTGAATCAGTCCAAATCCTAACACTGTGCCAACACATATGGAAAACAAAGCAATGGCCCACAGACTGAAAACATTCAATATACATTCCAGTGCTGAAGAAAGGAGATGCAAAAGAGTATAGCAACTGCACTAATTTTCCATGCAAGCAAAGTGATTCTTGAGGGGTTGCAACAAAGTATATTACCCTATGTGTAGCACAAAATGCCTGACATTCAAGCTGGATTTGAAAAGGAAGGAGACATTTGAAATCATTTTGCAAATATATGTTGGCTATTGGAATTCACCAAAGAATTTCAGAAAAAGATCTGCTAGACTACAGCAAAGCCTTTGATTGTGGATTTTATTGAAACGATATTTTAACTGTTAATTGTTGTTTTTATTTATTGGGTTTTTATAGCTCTGCCGAGATGTATCTGGATTTTTAAACTTTATTCAATTTTTGTTTATTTGCTTTGTAAGCCGCCCCAAGGCTTGTTGCAAAGGGGGTGGCATAAAAATGCTTTAAATAAATAAATAAATAATGAGAAGCAGTGGATGGTCTTGAGCAGGGGTCGGCAACCCGTGGCTCTGGAGCCACATGTGGCTCTTGAATCCCTCTGCTGGGGCTCCATCGCTCAAAACAGGTGCCGGCACAGGCAGATCTGTGACTGAGGCTGGTTAAATATATTGCTACATTCCTCTGCTATTGTGCAGCAAAAGAGTGGAACAAGCTTCCTGCAGGTTCTCATGTTACTCAAACCCTGCTGAAAAGATTCTCTTTGTCCAAATGTAATCTCCTTCATCTGAATGTTAAAAGCTGACTTGGGACCTGTCACAATTCACAGCACTTGACTGTTTATCTGCTAATCAGTCAGTAAACACACCTATATCTCAATTTACTGAGCTTTTTCGTCGTGGCCTCTGTGCATCACACATATGGGTGCTGCGCCTGCGCAGTGCCTTTGGCCGGAAGATTACAAGCTAACGGTTTATTTTGGCGGGAAAGCTCCGCTCCCCCTCCCCCACAGCCTATAAAGAGCGGAGCGTCCGCCATTTTGTTCAGTCTTTGCGACCGCCATTCACTGTGCCTCGTGCCGCTTTCGACTATCGCTTTGATTGTTACTCATAGCCTATTTTCCTCTTCTTGTTTACTTCCAGTTTTATATCCCTGATAGTTCTTGTTAGCTCTAGTTATTCTACAGTTCTATCCTTCTACTGTTCTACTTTCTAACTTCTTCTTAAAAAAAAAACAAAAATATATTCTTACCCTCTGCACTGTCTTCTTTTTCTCCTCTTCTTGCAATGGCGCAGCAAGTGGCCTTTCACAAATGTGCGGAATGCGGGTCAAAGATGTCACCATCTGACCCGCACGACCTATGCCTCCTCAGCTTGGGGGAGGGGCATAGGACCGACAAGTGCTCCCATTGCCTGGTCTTCTCCAAGCAGGCCAGGAAAAACTGGGAGAACTGCCTCCGGAGGTTCCTGTGGGATCGGGCTCTTAGGCAGTCCGACCCACTGGTCGCTGCTCTGAAGCCTGGCCTAGCTACGGTGGTCCAGCCCTCGCGCCCATTGGACGAGGGTGCCTCTACTTTGAGGGCCCCACCAGCTTCTCCCAAAAAGAAAAGCGAGAAGCGCAAGCACACTGATGCTGACAAATCAGCCAAAAAGGCCAGGAAAGAGAAGCCTTCTAAACCGGCCCAAAAGTCAAGGGATCCGGATCGGCCTCGACACCACGTCTCGGGTTTGACAGCAGTGTCGGTACCGGCGCCAACCACCGTACCGACTCCACCCAAGCCGGTACTCCAGGCAGCCATGAGAGTCACCCCTCAAGGGTCTCCCCGTCGTGTGGCTGACCTCCCGGCAGAGCAGCTTCCATCTCTCCTGCGGGGGTCGATCTCTGACGGGGAAATTCAAGATTCTCCCCCCAGGGCTAGGTCACCAACGCCTATGCCCATGGCCACACTGGAGGCGGATGTGGTCAAATCCCCGCCCAGGGCCCGCCGGAGTCACTCCAGGGAGCAGTGATCCGAGCGATTCGAGGACTGGCGTCGCTCCTACTACCCATCTTGGGGCGAGCCATACTCAACTGGGTACTATCCCGTGCCGAGGGATCGGTCCCCACCACGCTCTCATGATCACCAGCTGCCACTGGATCCGAGGTGCACATCCCCAGTTCCCCAGGAAGAAAGCGGCCAGTCCGTCTCGCCAGTGGAGTCTTCTTCGGCCCCTCCGTACTTACGGCGCAGACTCCGACGACTCAGACGTCGATTCCATCTCTCCCGACGTCGCGGTGACCTCCCAGGGCCCTGCATCACTGGACAAGTCGCATGTCTCTTTTGCGGAGCTGATGTCCAGGCTCAGCCAGTCCCTGGACATCGACGCCATCCAGCGCCCAGGACCGTTTACAGATAAAATCTATGACGTCGTCTGCGGAGAGCAGTCCACCTCCATCGTCCTGCCCCTGATCACCACCCTCTAGCAGGCGATGACCCAGCCCTGGGACTTGCCCTCTCATCCTCAACCAACATCGCGGAGATACGAAGCCATGTACCGGGTTCAGGAGGAGGACATACCATTCCTCCTCCGACACCCCAAGCTGAACTCGGTCGTGGTGGAGTCCTCCCAGGGAAGAGAGGCAAGGGGTCACACCGCTCCGCGAGATAAGGAGGGCTGCAAGATCGACTCCCTGGCCAGGAGGGTCTACGCAGCTTCAGGCTTGGAGCTGCGTATCTCAAACTACAAGGCGACGTTGGTGAGATACCAGAATTTTATAATGCAACGCCTTCACAACATCATCTCGGCTGTCCCAGACCAACAAGGCGAACTGGCCAAAGTATTGATTAAGGAGGCGATGCACGTCGTGGTGCAACAGTTGTCCACAGCCAGGCACCATGTGGACACTGACTCAAGGGCCTTGGTTGGTGCCGTTTCTCTTCGTAGGCATGCGTGGCTGAGGAGCGCCAACTTCCCCGAAGAGACCAAGCGGCGTATCGAGGAAATGCCCTTCGACAGGTCTGGGCTTTTCCATTCGAAAATGGACCATAAACTTAAAAAACTTCATGAGTCCCGCATGACGGCCCGACGAATGGAGCTCCAGTCGCTACCAAGGCGTAAGTGGCCATGGTACCGTCCACCCTACAGACAACCTTACCATTCCAGGCAACAGCCTCAGCACAGGCAGCAGCGACAACAGCAATGCCATTGACAACAGCCCCAGCAACACTACCAACAGGGCTGCTGCCAATATGATGACAGGAGGCAGCGTTGACAGGACTGGCGAACCATTCCTCTACCCTATCCTCTACCCACCCCCCTCTCAGCTGGGGACCGGCTGCGAAGCCGACTCCCCATTTGGGAGTCCATCACATCTGATGGATGGGTATTATCTATCATACAGCATGGCTATAGGATAGAATTCAATACCGTTCCTCCATCGAGTCCGATCCGGTTTACATCCTGCTCGCCGGTACTGCTCGATGAAATACAACAACTTCTTCATAAAGGAGCGATTCGTCAAGTAACTCAATATGACGGACTTCAGGGATTCTATTCTAGATACTTTACAGTTCCCAAACGGGACGGTGGCCTACGTCTGATTTTAGACTTACGTGGTCTGAATCGATTCATCATGATGAGGAAGTTTCGAATGACCACCCTCCAAAATATTTTGCCGCTGCTTAGGAAAGAGGATTGGTTCACCTCATTGGACTTGAAGGACGCCTATTTTCATATTGCAGTCCATCCCAAATATAGACGTTTCCTTCGCTTTGCTGTTGCCTCCAATTTCTACGAATTCATGGTTTTACCTTTCGGTTTGGGTACTGCTCTGAGAGTGTTTACTAAATGCATGGCCCCTGTCTGCGCTTACCTATGCCTCCAGGGCATACAAGTTTATCCTTACCTTGATGACTGGCTCCTAGTCTCCAGGTCCAGGGAAGCGCTTCTCACTTCTATCCGTATTACCTGCGCCTTATTGGACGACCTAGGCCTTTACATTAACACTGAGAAATCATCTCTCCTTCCGGTACAGAAGCTTATGTTCATCGGAGCCCACTTGGATTCGACGTTGGAAAAGGCATTCCTCCCTCGGTACAGACAACTGACTCTCGCTCGCCATATTCATCGAATGCGACGAGACAGATTGGTTCCGGCGAAGTCCATCCAGAGGCTTCTAGGACATATGGCTTCCACCGTTGCGGTGGTGCCACACGCCAGACTGCGACTTTGTCCTTTGCAGCTATTTTTCAACAAAGTGTTCCACCCACAGAGAGATCCACTGTCGAAACTCCTTCGAGTCCCATCCTCAGTGCTCCATTCCCTACTATGGTGGTCGGTCCCGACCAATCTGACTGTTGGGGTCCCCTTCAGGCCCCAAGGCCCATCGA